TTGGCTCATATGCTTCATTTGTTGGTTAATATGCATCTTCTGTTGGATGATATGTTCTTTTTGCTGGCTGATATTATATGTTTCATTTGTTGGCTGATATGTTCCTTGTGTTGACTGATATGTTTTTATTAATGTATGATATGTCCGTAATGTCGACTGATATCAGACATTAATTGGCTGATATGTTCATTTTTTTGGCTGATATGCGTCATTTGTTGGCTAATATGATTAACAACACACAATATATTTTTTATTTCCTTTTCTCTCCTCTTTCCCCCTCTTCCTCTCGTTATTTCTCTCTCTTTCAAATGATCGAGTATAGGTTTCTTCTCTGGCTCATTAACAAAAAAAAAAGTATTAAGGTAAGCCCAATAGCATAAGCTTTTATTTAGAGAGACACACAAATAAAATTTATTAGTGTGATGAAGTATCCAATATCATAAGGTATCAGCCAACAACCCGAAATGCTCAAACTTAAACTCCAAACTTGAAATGCTCTGCGCACTCCCTCACTCCCCACTCTTCACCACCCCCACCACCCACTTCGCCACCACTCGCCGCCCTCTCCTCCACCGCATTTCCCTCTCTACCACCACCACTTGTGCCACCTTCACGACCCGCGCCACAACAGCCTTCTCAATAGTAACAATTGACACAAACAACAGCGACGCCGGACCACCGCAGTCAACCACCTCCAAATTCACACCACCCCAAACAACAATAGCAGCCACCAACTCGAACGACTCACAGCCCGTACTCCCTCAAACATCAGCGACGCTAATCAGAGCCAATTACAACACTAACCACCTAAACCAACCACCACGTATCAACCGCCCCACCATCGCACCACCAATTTGAATTGAGAAGTCGCAAATTGCACAAATTCAGCCAACGAATCAGTAGCCTTCGAGCGGGTGCTTCGATTGCTTGAAGCGGATGGGTTTAAGGAGATTGAAGAAGAGAGATTTAGGGTTTTAGAATGAGAAGAAGATGAAGAAGAAATAGCAGGATTTTTGAAGAAGAAATAGGCTGCCACACGAATTATTGGGTGCGGACTGCTGCACCCGATAGTTTGTGTACAAGTATACATAAGACTATCTATAATTGTGGATAACAAATTAGAGTCATCTACACAAATTCTTATATGTCGTCATCCATATACTGACATCCACCTTTAGTAGATAGATAGTGTGGCCACTTCACATATAAGCAATTAATTGAATAATGGGGTTTACGTAGGGGTGAAACAAATTTGGTTTAAAACCGAACTGTACCGAAAACCGAACCGAATTAGGAATATGATTCGATTTTTTTTCTTAAGTGGTTCGGTTTCGGTTTGTAAAATCAAGAAACCGAAATTATATGGTTCGGTTTCGGTTTTGGAAAGTGAAAAACCGAAACTAAATCGAATTTTCGGCCCAATACATAAGCCCACCTTTTCACATATAAATATATATAAAAAAAAAAACCCTAATGCCCAAAACCCTCGGTCTTTCACGCCTCCTTTCTCTTTCCTTTCTCTCTCCTCTCTCCTTCCTCTCTCCTCTTTCAGTCTTTCACTCTTCTTTCATGCCTCCTTCATGCCTCCCTTCTCTCTCCTTCATATCTCCTATAGTCTTTCAAGTCCTCTCAAAGTCTCAAATTTAATTTTCTATATTCTGGATTTCTTACCCAAATTTGAAGAAGAAAATTTTTGGTTTTTTGTAAAGGAATTATAGTAGCAGCTTAAGAACGAAGAGGAAATTGGGAATATATATGAACTACGGTCGATTGGGAAGAACAAGATGTGTTTTTGCATGATCTCTCACCGAAATTGTAGTATTCTTGTAGATTTTAGTGTTTGTAATCCATAGAATTTATTAATTATCATAGTTGTATTACTTTTTTTTTTCTAAATTTTTGTAGATCTATTTTTTTTATAAATTTGGCTATTTTTTTTTTGTTTTTATTTACCTTTTAAATCTGGAAAAAAAAAAACCTCCGAATTTCGGCCAAACTTGTTTAATTATGTTTGTATGGATTGGTTTGGTTTTGTTTGGCTCGGTTTTAATTGGTGTGGTTTGGTTTGGTTTTTTTGCAAAATTTGATGTTTATGGTGCTTGATATGAAAATTCGGTGCGGTTTGGTTTTTTTTTAAGAAAACCGCAATTTAGGTGGTTTGGTTTGGTTTCAAAGCTAAAGTGGTGCGGTGTGGTTTGCAAAATCAAGAAATCGAAATATGGTGGTTCGGTTTCGGTTTAGGCAAAAAACCAAACCAAAAACTGAACTTTCACCCCTAGGTTTACGACAATAATCAAATGGGTTATTGTTATGGGTGAGGGGCTACTGCAATGGAAAAAGGAGTCCCACACTTTTATAGACAAATATAATTGTACATTGTATAGTCAAAATTAAAGAAGAGGGGTTACTTGAATGAACAATTGGGGTTACTACTTTTTTTTTGGTTACTATTTTTTTTTTTTAAATTAGTTGATGTTACTCATGTAGTAGTAATAAATTGAGGCTACTCTTATAAACAAAATAAGGTTAGGTTGGTACCCTTATAAATAATAAAGGTTACTATTATAAACAAACGTGGGCGCACCGGTCATGTGGCTAACTACGTACACACAAGACTTGTTGTATACTATAAGTTGTATTATACGAAGTATGAGAAAATACAAGCTAAGCTATACTATTGACAAATTTCGTCAATCTAATGACAATATGGTAAATAAGTGCATTTTTTTAGTAACGGCTTGCCCGTGAATAGTAAAAAAAAATGTGCACTTATTTATAATATTGTCACTAAATTGACAAAATTTGTCAATCATAAATATTAACTTGGTTCGCCTCGTAAAATATTAGAGCTAATCTTGAGTTTCAAGTGCTCTTAAGTTTTCAAGTTGAGCTTTGTGGTTTATTATGCTCGACTAGGGGTGAAACAAATTTGGGTTAAAACCGAACCAAACCGAAAACCGAACCGAATAAGAAATATGGTTCGGTTTTTTTTCGAAAGTGGTTCGGTTTGGTTTTGAAAAAAAAAATATTTCGGTTTTCGGTTTGGTTTCGATTTTAGAAATTGAAAAACCGAAAAAACCGAACAGAACAGAAATTTTAGGCCCAAAAGCCCCCTAGCCCAACACTTTTACCCTAAGTATATAAAGGAAAAAAAAAAACCTAATCCCTCACTTCCTCATCTGACTCTCAGTCTCTCACCTCTCCTTTCCTCTTCTTCTCCTGATCTCATCTCTCCGCCTTTCTTTCTTCTCTTCTCAGAATCTTAGTTCTTCCTCTCTCTCCTTTCCTCTTCTCAACTCCGTCCTTTCTTTCTCCTCTTTGATCTCTTCTCCATCACTCTGTTCTCCTCTTTTCCCCACCAGCCCACATCGAACAAGTTTATTTACAACGTTATTAAGCCATCAACTGAGTAGCTAAGGTTTTTCATGTCAAATTCATCCATGAAAACACTAGATCTAGTGTTTTCATGGTCGAACTTGACCTTTAAAACCCAAATTCGAGGTTTTTCGGTGGAATGTGAGGTATGTCCTCTTTTTCTTAATTTTAATTTGATTTGAATTTTTTTTCCTACTTTATTTTTATGGTGGCGTAGCCGTGTAGATTGAATTGCGGTGGTGATAGGTAGTTGTGGGTCGATCTAGGGTTAGTGTTTGGGTGGAAAGGATGAAGGGTGGTGAAATAAGGTGGGTTGTGGGTTGTGGTGGGTGCGGATCTGGGTTAGGGGTGGTGATAAGGTGGTTTTTGGTGGTTGTTGTGGGTGGTAGTGGTGATAGTTTCTATGGGTGGTTAGTGGGCATTGTTGTGGGTGGTTAGTGGTGGTAGTTTCGGTGGTTTTTGGTAGGTTAGGGTGGGTGGTAGGTGGGTTTTAGGTGGGATGTTTGTATGGTTTGGTTTGGTTCAATTTAATTGGTGTGGTTTGGTTCGGTTTTTTTGCAAAATGTGATGTTTAGGATGCTTGAGAGGAAAATTCGGTGCGGTTTGGTTTTTTTTAGGAAAACCGAAATTTAGGTGGTTTGGTTTGGTTCGGTTTCAAAGCTAAAGTGGTGCGGTGTGGTTTGCAAAATCAAGAAACCGAAATTTGGTGTTTTGGTTTCGGTTTGGGCAAAAAACCAAACCGAAAACCGAACTTTCACCCCTATGCTCGACTCATGAAAATTCAGAGCTAATCTTGAATTTTTTGTAAGTTTGGCTTAGTTCTTAACACCTATGTACTCATTTCTAGTATCTTTGTTATTTCTTATATGTATAAAGAATTTAATCAAAGTGTTAATTTTATGATAGACTTTCTAACGTATGACTATGGTACATAGACATATATTAAGCCTAAAATATTATATCTCAACAAAGAAAACATGTGTCTGGTTTCTTTTGATCTTGGAATTGGTTTATTTCTATGTCATACTAGGCTAAGATAAAAGTAGAGTATTAGAGTGTCCCTACAAAAAACGAGGATTTTGTCTAAGAGGACGAGTGAACTAAAGGGTTAAGTGAATGATACAGGAGAGAATTCACAAAGGGTAGAACTAAGAGCAACTGCATTTGTTAGGTTTTTGGACCTACTTGCAATGTTTAATAAGTAAAGTTACAACAAGCACCAGTATGTGTGGAGATACAAATGTTATTTTTAGCCCCCCTTCTTTAAAGCTTTGACAAGGTATCCTATTTCATGCTTTACGATATATATTCACAACAACTTTTTCAAGCGAGCTCCTCGGTTTAAGTTTGATGTTGCCGGCTGACTTGCTAGTTTCTTCTACTAATATAATTTTATTCATTTTATAAATGAAATGGTTTAACATGATTATTGCCTTATTATGGAGGTTATTGCTTGCAATTGATGTAGTTTGAAAATATTGATGTGGCAAAGCCAAATTACTACCTCTATTGCTTGTCATTGTGGATGCTCTCAGGAGAAGAGTAAAGAAAATATATAGATGTACTTTGTGTACTATATTCGACTAAAGTTAAGAGCACTGTTACTTTGATTTTTGTTTTGGCTATGATAACACTTCATAACATTTTGGGACAAATGCATAGAAAGATTTACAATTGGCATAGGGGTAGACTAACATTATTAAAGTCAAAATTGATTAAGTAAGGTATTGTTGAATCACATTTAATAGGCCAAACTATCTCGATAATTATCGCCAAATTAAACAAGCCAGATTGCCCCAACCTCAGCCACCCCTTTATTTTCTTTATTCTTACTTATTTTTTTGTGTGAAGAGCCCCAAATTTTTTTTAATTTTTTTATTTTTTAAGTGTTGACTCACTTTAGTACTTTACTAATACGAGTAATTAACTAATTTCTTTTTTCAAAAGAATTCCTGCTCGAAGCTTAGGTGGCACCGCACCAAAAAAAGATTCAAATTCTCGCCCGTTACAGAGAACCCCCACACTTTTCCCTCTTCATACACACGAATCACGATTCCGCAAACCTAGGGTTTCATACTCTACATTCAAACTCCAATCAATTTCATAAATCCCAATTAATTTTTTCGAATTTCTTTCATAACCCATCAAAATTCTCAGCATAATCTACTAAACCCACCAATTTCCCCAGTTTTTTCTTGCTCAAAAATGGGTACAACAAATCCCTTAAACCCTCAAAACCCCACTTCCCCCTTCTCACAGTTCTCAGCAGAATCTTACCACCCCATGTTACAAGAATCAATACAGCTTTTCTTATCTCAAATTCAATCTGGAATTTCTGATTTTTCCCATTTTAATTTGATGTTTTCCCGCTTAATTCATACAATGCCTTCCCCACCCATTGAGATTGTTTGGTTTTACTCAGCTGTAAATTTTCATACCCACAAAAAATTAATTGCCCAGAAAAATTTAGTTTCCCAGGATGATAATTTGGGCAGAATTTTAGCTATTAAGGAGCTTTTTCAGTCATTAGTTGCTTGTTCAGGTCCATGTAGTAGTAGTCTCCAGAAAGTTGCTGTTTTAGCTCCATTAATTTTCGAGCTGTATAATTTGGTTCTTGATTTGAAAGTAAATGCTAGGTTTAGCTTAGATAAAGCTATCACTGTAGAGATTGGTTGTTTGGTTGAGCGTTTAGTGAGTTATATTAGCTTGTGTTGTTGTGAAGGGGTGGACGATCATGATGACACGATCGCTTTTTCGCCATGTTTTGTGGATTTGGTTAAGGTTTGGACTGTTCAAAGGCGGGAGATTGGTTTCGAGTTCAAGGATGATTTTAAGATGTTTTTTCCAATGATCAGCGATGAGGCTCGAAATGGACTTTTGGTTGGTAGTAGGGTTGGTGCTTTAGCTGGGATTGTCATGTGTCAGACCTTTTTGCTTAGTCTGTGCTTGAAGTTTGGGTTGGAAGATCCACAGGAGAAGCTTAAGGAAGATGTCCTAAATTTGGCTGCTAATAGCATTATCGGATATAGAAGTTGTTACTTCTTTGGTAAGATTTCCTTACTGCTTGTTGTAGAGAAAATTTCACTTGCTATGAATGTGCTATAATTACATAGTTTATGATTTTATGAGGCCTTAAATGAATGTTTTGTTCGTGTATTACTGATTTATATATAGTGGATTGTCTTGGTTGATGTAATATAATAAGATTTTGCTGTCATTTGCTTTTGGTGTATTTCTCATGTCATGTTAAGTATGAGACTAATGACTAAAGTTTGTAGCATAGAGTTGCCCATATAGATATCTGGCTGATCTTTTCCTAGAGACAAGTGTTTTTCGGTAAGGTTGAATTATTTATTTTGGTGAACTTGCTCTCTTGTTGCTATGAAGCTATGGTATACTTTGGCCTTGTTTGGTAAAGAGTTTTTTGGAAAACTTTTAGCTTATTGATCACTATTAGAGTTTTGACCATTTAAAAAGCTAATTTGGGTGTTTGGTAAATAGCTTATTAAAAGAGTTTTTTGGTCCAAAAAGCTCTTTTTGAAAAAGCTCATTTTAAGAGTTTTTTTGCAAATAGCTTATTGAAAAATTAGCTTTTTGGGTATTTAATACACCGAAACAGCTAATAATAAACATCTATTTACCAAACACTTTTACATAATCAGCTATTTACAACTAGCTAGTCAAATAAGCTAATATAACCAGCTAGTCAAACCAGTTAATACAGTCAGCTATATCAATCAGCTAAAAGCTAAGTACCAAACAGGGCCTATGTTTACGGTGCCAAAATAGATGCATGCACCAAATGTAAATCTTGCTTGCTGGAATAAAAAATAAACATGTATGTTTGAATTACCTATGTGACAATGGTGTAACCTATAACAATAATTAGACTGCGTAAATGCTCATAGAGCTCTATGTTAATGACCTATATAAAAGAATTGAAAATGTCTCTCTCCCTTGCGATGTTTTAAGGAATGGTGAGTGTTCTTATCTTTGGCAAGTAAATTTTGCTGCTTAGATACAAGTCCAGAAGTTGCATAGATTTACGTTGTTTTCCTGAAACTGATAGAAAACTGACATCCTACGAGGAAGCCTTATGGAAACTAATCACTTAGCCCTGTTGGCCCTTAATAGGGACCTATTGTTCATTCAGTTCATAAGAATTCATGTTAGTAAGAGTCCTCTTTACTATTAGTACCTTTCTCCTCTCTCTCTCTTCCCACTCTTTGCTTGTGTGTGTTCACTCTAGTTATACCACCCCTTTGACTTTCTAGCCATTTTATAAGATAGGTCAGACTAGTTCTACTTTACCACCTCTCTTTAGTACTTCCCTTTTTTTCTTACAAATGTATGGTTTCTGAAAAACTTTCTACATTCACAATAGCTTCAAGTTATTTCATCAAACCAAATGTACTTAGGGCCCCGTTCGGTTTGATGTAAAATGTTTCCATGGAAAATGATTTTCCCATTTTTCTTTGTTTGGTTTGTAAAGGGGTGGAAAACAATTTTCCCAATGGTGGGATATTGCATCCTTAATGATGGAAAACATTTTTTTTTTACAAAACAAGGGAAGCCACATTTTCCTCCCTTCTCCTTACCTCCTTTTTACCTTCTTCTCATCTATCCTCATATTCCCACTCCTATTTTATTTTTCTTTTACTTTTATTGTATGCAACCAAACAAAGGAAAACTAATTTGCAATTGTGCTTTTCTTTGAAAATATATATTCCATAAAAATTATTTATCATTGAAATATTTTACATCAAACCAAGCGGGGTCTAGATACAAAATATCTTTTCATCTCACCAGTTGAGATGTACTAGATGCAAAATAAAATCTGAATATTATTAAATTTGTGGATCTTTGACAGATACCCTTCTCAAGATGCTGTTGGAGTTCAGTTTGCCTGTTACCTCCCTACTGGTGAGTATATCTTTGCTGCATTTTGGAGATAATTAATTCCATTACCCTGCTGATGTTGTATGGTCAACATTATGTGTGAAGGTGATGCATTTCACTTAGCCTTGTGTCGCAATATGTGGAATTTGTCATTAGTTGTAGTCAGCCATTAGCCTTTTTACACTGTACAGTTAGAGGAGTTCCTTGCGGAATGGATACTTGAATTGTAGACAACGCCCTCTTTGTTGGACCTTTGTGCTGTTTAAATGGTCGGAACGCATAAATGGGTAACTTATCCTTTTCCTTTAAGAGAATTTACAATCTGTTAATGATATAAACATTTAGCTGTGGTTGGTATTGGTGTCTGCAGACCGTGGTTGATGAAGTACTGCTGCGAGAAGCCCTATTTGATGCAATCATCTTGGTAGATTACCCATTCTTTAATCCAGGATGTGGAATTCGTCTTTGTAGCCATCACTTAAACAGCCTTGCTTCAACATGGTTATTTGTTGCAGACAAGGCTATGAAGTTTGTTTGGTATGAGAGATGCTAGATCCTATGATTGGAAGCTGTTATTTTGTTATCTCTACTATATGTAATTAGATTCTGGCTGCAGGCATAAAGGTGACCAAACTAAAGTCATCTCATATATGAAAGCTTTCTCAAAATCTCTCATACACTCTCAGTTATTGAAGTGGGTCTCAACACAAATTGTTATGGCAGAGGATGCAAACAAAAATATTTCAACTCCAGCAGCTTTTATGGGTGAGTGATTCCAGCATTTGGCCGTCCTAATTGTATTTTCTTCCCTTTGTTATTTGCCGTAAGGGTTAAGTACTTCTTCTCTTCGATCTTCTGCTACTGTGATGATAGTGTTGAACTTGTTATTAAGGCCATCATGCTCTTTGCAAATATTTTGAAACATATTTATTGCGAGTGCTGGCTTTTTAGCCATTCTGAATTTTTTATTAGATAGCTTGTTAATTCTTTACGTAGTAGCTAGTACTCCCTCCGTCCCAAAATTTAGACAGGAAATAATAGGTAGGTCAAGAGTTTACTTAAAAAAGGTGTAATATTGATTATGGGGACATCTCAAATTGGAAGATGTTAATAGTGGTACAGGAGTGGCTTAAATAGAGCTATAAGTATACATGCTGCTCTTGAATATGCGAATATGCAATTATTTAATTTTGGACTTTTTCTTGTTTCAGAATGGCTTGTACAACTTACTAGCCAAACTTCAAAGGGCTTCTTCAATGAGGAGTTCTCAATGCTTCTTGAAAAAGCTATGAATTACATATCTGAGATGAAAACTGCACTTCCATACTTGGCTCTAGATGGTAATTACAATTTCTGCATTGACCAAAAAGTTAGAGAAAATGGAGGTGCTGATGAGGATTTTGAGATGATCGATACTGCAGAGGGTGCTAAAACTGGCTGCAATACCACCTTAACAGCCAATGACGAATGCAGAAAGCGTAAAGGGGAAAAGGATGAAGGCGGCATACGAGTGAAACTTCTTAAATACCAAATGCATGACAGTCCAATCAAGAGTTTCTCACCTTTCCAAAATGAAGTTGGTTTGATTAGAAGGAGCTAGCCAGATAATTTTCTAATGCCTAATGACGAAGCAGAAATTTTGTTCCAACAATCAGACTGTTATGATTGTTGATTGTGTAATCCCGGCTGCTTGCAGGTGCAGTCTTGTAGCGTAGAAGAGTCAGGAATCTGCCAGAGGCAGGAAAAATTGTATCGGGCAAAAATTATATCAGCCTATAACCGTAATTCTCTAAGACACTCTAATGTGTACTGGTTATTGAGTTATGTCATTGTAAGCACAATGTGTACTGTAAATTTATCTATCTTATTGATGCTAAAACAAATACAATACTCACAATCTAAGTCTTTTTCCTGACATTGGCTCACATATTTTGCAAAATAGACTACACATTTTTTTTTAAGAGTTGCGTTGAGACTTTATACAACACAATAGTAAACCTGCTTTAATTAAATTTTTGACATTCATTCCTCAGATTTACTAATTCAAAATTAAAGAGCTTGAAAATATGATAAAAGAACATGCATGAACATATAATTAAAAGATTATGCATGTACATGAAGAAGAACATTAATTGGAATTACATAAATAATCTTAAGTGTAACAACAACCACAATTTTATTATTAGTTTCGCGAAATCCCTTAATACATGATTAATAACGAAATCAAAGGAACTTTCAAACAATACAACTCATATTATATAACAATCAACTTGGTTAAACTCGATACATCTCAGAGCTTCTAATTAGTACATAGAGTATCAAAATCAGTTTTAACAGTCTTGGAATTATCCAAAGCCCTCTTCTTAGAAAGCTCCCAATTACAACGACATCTTGATGCATTCGGCAACTGAAACCGGCATAGAGGACAAGTATCATGACTGCAATCCTTTACCCATCGATCAATACAAGTCTTGTGGAACATATGATGGCATGATACTAGTCTTACAACTCGATTAATTGCACAATAATCTGGCTCCTCTTCTTGTCGCGCCACTTCTTTATCATCATCATTGGATCTCTTCCTCTTCTTCCCCATGTTTTTAACCCCTTCGAGACAAATTGCACACGTAAAACCCTCACCCTCCGTAGGCAAAGCTCCTTCTTTAACCACCTCCATTGCGCGCCGTGGTTGAGGTTGTTGCTTCTGGCAATCAACCGCTCTTTGTTTCGTGACATACAATGTCTCTCAATATTGTTCACAATTTCATACACGGCACCAGTCCCGTACAATTCCGAGCTCGCAACCCTACGTCGAAGACTCGAAACCTTCTCGTACATGTCTTGTAGCACTTCATTAGGGTTAGGGTGAAACACTTCGGATGTAAGATATTTCGATAATTCACTTTTGCACGCTTCACAATCTACGGGATTATAATTCCCTCGTAACTCATTCTTAGTTTTGACGTACGGAGACGACTTTGTTTCATCTTGTTGTTCGTCACACTTAATCTTACGCTCCCACTCTTCGTATCGTACGAAAATCTCCATATCTTTACAATTTTTTGGCTTTCGTGTTGTTGCTTGATGATGCTCACATCCGATCACTACGTTGTTTACTCGGACCTTCCCCATTGATAGCACAATCAAAGTATTTTCACTCTAAAAATACTTGCCTATAATTTTGTAATTTTTGTTAACAACAAATTTAGAAAAAAGAATTAAGTCGGTAATTGCAATTTTTGTAGATTTTTTGATTTTTGAATTTTATTGATGTAAACTTTCCTAAACATGAGAGCTATATAACGGTTAAGATAAAAGAGGGTATTTGGGATTTTTGGGAGAGTATTTCAAATGTGTTTGGACTTTTGAGTTTCGGCCCAATCTAATTATGTCTATGTATCCATTAAAAAAGAGGGTATTTGCGTCACATAATTTGCACTTTGTATTACACTTCAATTGATAGGCCCAAATCTTAACAAAGAAAACACTGTATTTTTCACAAAATAAAAATGGGGGAATATGGAGTAATATTTAGTTAAAAGATGTTAATTGCTAGCTTGTTATAGTTTATTCAGCAACTTTTCTGTGTGGCTTGTCACACCGTGTGGTAAGGGTTACTTGTACGAGTTACTTATTTAGAGGTTACTTGTATGTGTTACTTACTCAGGGGTAATTTGTATGGCTTACTTATACGAGTTATTTATTCAGGGGTTACATGTATGGGTTATTTACTCAGAGGTTACTTATTCAGGGGTTACTTGTAGGGGTTACTTACTCAGTCGATTAACGCGTTTTCTGTGTGAGAGTAACCCTTGAATAAGTAACCCCTAACCAAACGAGTAACCCTTGAACAAGTAACCCCAAAATAAATAACACCTATAGGTAATCCCTGATCAAACGTAACTTCCTACAAGTAACCCCGGCCACATATAAAAATTTGTGTAGTTTATTATCCTCATGCTTAATGATATTCAGAATGATAATATCAACAATAGTTAAGCCAATCTACTAATATGGCACGATTCTATCTTAAGGTTCAATTTTCTATACTAGATGTGTTATATATCAGTTTGAATTTCTACACAAATTTTCACATGATTATTGAGTTTTGAGCGCATAAAATTGGTAATTATTATCATAAATTTGGTTGTACGGCTTATATCGTATAATTGGCCATCATATAATCATATATACTCATTTGCATGATATGTGTAAAAAAAAATTAGTATTTAATAAACAATTGTTTTTTACAAAACGTCTAACCAAAAAGCAGAATAACATTATAGCCAAAACGCAAAGAATAAAACTAAGGTCAATCTATTACCATATGAGACGAAATTTCACAATTTTAGTGACTAAAGAACTTTTTTATTTTATTTTATTTTTTTAATAAAATAGGGAGGGGTGATTTCATCAAATAATAATATCATCCGACACTTACAATCATCCCTTAAGAGATCTAAATTCTCAATACAAGAATTAAACACCCATAAACTAGTAACTAAAGAACTTAAATTTAAATAACATAACTAATTCCTTAAATCTAGCATCTAATAATTCTACCTCTTACTCAATGGCTTCGCCAAAATCTCAATAAATTCCTATGCTAGTATTTTCCCAAAATCTCTTGAAAAAAATTGTTTTGGTTGTAATCGCGCGTTAATCAATAAGTGTACGATAATCTTCGTTTATAAATCTGAATTTAATGTGTGCAAGGTTTTTTCTTAGACAGTGTTAATGTCGCGAGCTCTTTCCGTACTTGTACCTCTACTTTATCATAAAAAAATTAATTACACTCAAATTTTTCTATAAGACTTTCATTTCTTGTCTATCCTATATGTCTCAAATTCTCATACATTCAACTCGCAAATACAACCACCCAAAATTAGTCATTTAACTAATTTAATACATATATTCGTAATTGTTATTTTTATTTTTTACAGGTTCAATAAATTGAGAACTTGAACCGGGACCTGTTATAACAGGTTCTCAATTTTACTACCCGCAACCGAAACCTCTTGTTCAAATTATGATTTTGAACCCGTAGTTCCTAACCGATAGATATTATATTTATGATAATATTTGTCGCAGATTAGGATAGATTTTGTGTATATTTTGTATTCTTATTATACTGATATACTTGTTGTACCACACAAACAAATAACAGCCTAACAATGCAAGTTTTGGTTACGATTTAGGGTACCTTGATTATTTGCTCACCCCTAATTATATTTACTAATCTAAAATTAAAGAACATGAAGATATCATAAAAGAACATGCATTTATATGAAAAAAGAACATAAATCGAGATTGCACAATAATCTTAAGTGTAGCAACAACCACAATTTGAATAGTTTCGCGAAATCCCTTATACATGATTAATAACGAAATCAATGAAAGTTCCAAACGATCCAAGTCATATTGTTTAACAATAGACTTGGTTTAACCTGATACCTCTTATAGCTTCTAAGGGTTTATCATATTTATCAAACTCGGTTTGAACAGCCTTAGAATTATCTAAAGCCATCTTCGTACCAAGATCACAATCACAACGACATCTTGGTTTCGGCAACTTATCCCGGCAAAGAGGACAAGTACCATGACCACGATCCTTTACCCATCGATGAATACAAGCAATATGGAACATATGTTCACATGACACTAGTCTAACAACTTGATTAGGTTCATCTTCTTGTCGCGCCACTTCTTTAACTTCTTCGAGACAAATAGCACATGTAAAACCCTCATCTGTTGGCAATTCCCCTTCCTTAACCACCTCCACAGCGTGTGATAATTCCTCCTGCCGGTATTCAACCCAAGTGATCACCCCCTCGTACTCTACGTCACGTGACGTAGTACAATGTATCTCATAGTTGTTTACAATTGCATATTTGGCAAAAATATTGTACACATCTTTCGAGTTAGCAACCCTACGTCTAAGACTCGAAACCTTCTCGTACATGTCTTGTAACACTTCATCGGGGTTAGGGTGAAACATGTACGATGTAAGAAAATTCAATAATTCACTTTTACTCGCTTCACAGTCTATGGGATCATACTCCCCTTTAAACAGTACAAGACAATCTTTACTTTGAACATAAGGAGACGTTGTTTCATCATCTCTTGTTCATCACAATATTTCCTACGTTCCCACTCTTCGTATTGTACGTAAATCTTCATATCTTTATGCTTTTTCGGCTTTCGTTTTGTTGCTCGACGACGATGCTCGCAATCGATCAAGACGGGTGTTTCTCTTAACCTCCCCATTGATAGCACAATCAAAGTGTTTTCACTCTAAAAACCTTGCCTTTAATTTTGTAATTTTTGTTAGCAACAAAATTAGAATAATTGAATAAGCCTAACTGCGTTACATTATATGTAGAAATCAGCTCATGATTCCTTAGCTTGAGGCTCAAGCTACACGGTAATTTAAGTCGGTAATTGCTAATTTTTTTTTATTTTTAAATTTTCATTGAAGAAAAGTTTCCTAACTTGAAACAATTTACTACGTAATTCTTTCTATAGTTAAGAAAGGGGGTATTTTATTTTTTGGGGTTTTTAGGAGGTACTAGGAATTTGTTAAAGACTTCTGAGTTTGGGCCCAATTTAATTCTTTCTGTAAATCCGTTAAAAAAGAGGGTATTTGCGTCATTGGTGCACCTTAAAATCTGCATCATATAATATGCATTACACTTCAATTGATAGGCCCAAATCTTAACAAAGGAAATATATTGTATTTTTCACAAAATTTGTCCTACAAATTTGTAAATCTCTTTTGTCTTGAAAGAAAATAACGTTTGCTCCATTTTCTTTTACTAAGTTCATTAACTTCGTTGGAAATAATCGTTGAAAGAAAAACATAGTCGTCATGTACAGTCTTATTAGATTCATCTAAGC